TGACAAGCCCAGCAAAGGTCCTAGAAGAATTGTATGAGTGGAAAACGAAATTCTGCCGAGCCGCTGCCTTTAAAGTCAAGTCTTTCACCTCTATCTTGCACCCTACACGGTCCAATCTCTCCTTCAGACTTTACTATTCGATTTGTTCAAAGTAAACATTAACGAGTTTCCATTCAAAAGTAACTTACCAATGATCACGCTGACACGCGCTGCGACGACGGTAACTAGCTTTACCCACACGTGATGGAGTATAAACGCAGTCCTACCAAGGATCTGCTTGAATAATGTGTGGGCGCTGTGCTGACAGTATGACAGAAACGGCATACGATCACTTGTAATGAGATGTCCATTTTTGGCATTCATTTTGGCTTCTCTCGATAGAATGGCTGCCACCGCCTCTACTTGCGAGTGGAAATTCTAGGTTTTGAAGGACTAGGTGGTTTAGATGTGAATGACTCGACTTTGAGACTCTGAGGAAGACATTGTTGCCAAAACGTTAGGCTTAATAAAGCATTTCTAAGACTTGTCTTGGCAAAGTTCTCAGAACTATTGTTCTTATGCAACATGATTGGCACTGTTGAAATCAACAGTGCTTTATGACTTTGGCACGCTATCACTAACTTTGGAAAGAAAAATTATGCCGCAGGGGTGTTAGTGCATACGGGTCTAACTTGCTAAGTGGGCCCATCGTTTGGTCTGGAAACCTTGCTGAGAAGACAAATACGCCAGCAGTGCAAATCTAACTATGTATGAAGAATCGTAAGTGCCATCCGTTGAAATTGCGAGAGACAGCGCAGAGGTGCGGTAGCGCGCGGATGCGTGATCGTGGATGCAAACCTAGCACCTTTACATTGGTGGTGCACTAGCAGAATCATATAATAGGAAGGCTATGGAATCATTCTATTTGTCACGCAATCCCATCATTTCCAACGTGTCTTCACTTCAAACCAGGCCAAGGGATTCCTGAGTCCAATATTGCAGCTCTAACAATGTCAAGCAGGGAAGTCCTAATCTTGACAGATTCGCTGCCCAGGTCGCTTGTAAGACTTCAATAAATTACGGGTTGGGCGCTCATTTATCTGGGCGCTCGATTATGACCATAAAATGGCGCTCGATCAACGGCTGGTAGGTTGATAAACCGTCCTTGATATATAAAAGAGCCTTTTCAAGCCGCAGTACAAAAGTGCAAACGTGTGTATTAGTTTCATACATGCACACCTCACTTTTTCAGTTGTTTTTTACAGAGCTGGTATAGAGTGCAACTTCGTCTCATTGAACAAGCAATAAATGATGAGCTCGAAGATCTTGGAATGGCTCCTATCTATGTAGAGAACTGGACGAAGGACGAACGAGCACTGATCAACGTTAAGGTTTTTGTTATCGCTATATAAACGCGAAAAACGTTAGATTTTTGGACTAGTTAGTACACAGATTTTCTAATCAAACTTGGGTGTGTCGACGGGAATGACTGCAAGTGCTAAGTAGTATGTTTCAGGGTGTCACAAAGATCACTACAATAACTTGCACCATGTAGATTTGAAAAATCGAGGCTTGAAAAAAAGAAATCTTGTGAAGAACGATAATTGCAATATTTAATTGCATTATCGCTCATCAATTCATTTCAGTACCTGACCAGATGCGCACTGTCTGTACTGAACTACCGCGAAGTGAAAGCTGTTGGTCGGTCTTTGCGTTTGCAGTATCCGGAAGATGGAGCAGGTTGTGACTGCAAGGACGGTGTTTGCACGCCCGCATGTCCGTGCATCAGAGTAAGGCTTATCTTATTTTGATTCACCGGCAGGTGAGGTTTTGCTATCTCTAAAAGAGCTAGATTATCAAGCATTTTTCTTATGTTGGTGAGAAAGTCCATTATCTTATTGTTTGATGCGAGATGAGCCAATAAACATAATGTAGGTAATAGCAATGCAAATAAGAAATCTAGTTTCGTCATTTTTAGTGCAATTCTCTTGTTTTCAAACACTTGTGTGTGACAAGCATGAAGAGGATTGTATTACCCTGATTCCACGCATATAAGGCGCGGGGGGTTTTTAATCGACCAGCCCAATCCGCCAAAGGAATTCGCAACCAAAGGACCCTATACCGTGCTGTGAATTGTGTATTGTATTAAGAGAATCGTGCAGCATGAGAATCGTTTTCGAAGCACAGTGAAGCGCCCGAGGTGCTTGTTTGAAAAATCGGAAAAGTGCGCCTTAAATGTGTGAAGTTACGGTAGTGTAAAAGTAACGGGAACTTGGAGAGTAAATGCAGCTTTTTCAAACAGAAATGTTTATTGGATCTTAAAGTTTTGACAGATGTTAAGTTATATTAGCTTCTGGTGGAATTCTATGGATGGGCGTAGTGTTTGAGATTGAAGCTCGTGACGTGAGGTGGAACTTTGAGACTTGACCAAACTTTGAGCAGCACGCCTAATGTAGAACAAGT